GAGCACATAGCCGCTTCCCAGACTCGCATGGCACCACGTGCGAACCGATCGAGGATGGATCATCCATTCAATGTCGGTGATGATGTGCTTATCGACGCCCGCCACTTACAGCTCGAAGCGGACACGCTTCGCAAGTTTCGGCGTCGCTTCTTTGGCCCATGCTGCATCCTCCAGGCCGTCGGTTCTGATACGGCATCTAGCCCGGTCAGCTTCTGTGTGAGCTGCCCGATTACCTACGCCAGGCTCGTGTGCACAATGTCTACCACATCTCGTTACTGTGTCCTTATCGCAGACCGTCTGAGCGTTTCGTTGGACGACCATACGAGCGCCCTCCACCCATCATGGTGGACGGCCACGAGGAGTTCCTCGTTTCAGACATCATTGGTCGTCGACTCACCGACGACAACCCTCCCCACGTCGAGTATCTCGTATGTTGGAAGGGTTACCCTGATGAGGAGGCTACCTGGGAGCCCCTCGAGCACTTGCAACACGCTCGCATGTTGGTGCGTGCTTATGATCGTGCTCGTCGTGCTGGGTTCACTGCTCCTCCTCAGCCCACTGACCCTCCTTCTCCCCCGGCTGAGGAGATCGTTGAAGTCGAGCCTGCTCCATCTGAGGCAGACCTTCAGCAGCAGCCGGATGCTTCTGAGCGTCCACAGCGCACTTATCGACGTCCTGCTCGATACGACGATTGACTCTGACTTACCTTCCCACGTCCTTGACTTCTCAGTACTCCATCCACTCCAGTTTTGCTACTTCAGCTCGTCGACGTTGCGGCTCTTCCTCGACGGCAATCCGGACTTCTCATCGTGGACGTCATTGGTAGCTTCATGGACTTTGTCACGATCAGCTCTGCCTACTTCAGACGTCGTCACTCCCTTACCACTTTACCCTGTACAGTACCCTGCTTGTGTCGCATGATGGTCTCCCTTTAGCCGGGTTCCTCTGAGTTGGGCTCTCCCTTGGTATACGCATAGGCATCGGGACCGTAGCATTACCCTGGCTTCCCAACTTACGGATCTAGCTCCGACTTCCCTCACCTTAGGAGTCACCTGCATGATTCCCTTACCCATCATCTTTCTACCCTCTGCCGGCCCTCACGCCCTAGTTAGGCAGCCCCGCATGCTTCATCTAGGTGCGCCCAGTATACCAGGCTCCCTTGTTTCCCTGCATGGTCGACCCTCCATAGCAGTCACCCCTTAGTCGAGCTTTACCCGCCCTGATGGTCTATCTGTTAGGGTCATTGGCTCTGTTCGCTCCCAGTTCCCTACCCTCATTGAGCCTAATGACATGTGTTCCCCCTGTCACTATGTGTGGATGCCCTTAGGAGTTATCGACCCCTAGGCTGCATTCGCCACCCTCAGAGACCATCCCACCCTTTGGTTTGCGACATACTTCTCCTGTGACATATGATTGACTTGTTGTTGCTTGTTGCTCTCAGACTGAGGCTACTGCCTCTGACATTTCTAGGATTTAGTTGTTCTGCTTTTGCTGTTCTTAGGACTTATACACTAGTCAGTTGTTCCCAGACTGAGGCTAGTGCCTCCAACATTCTAGGATCTAGTTGTCACTACTTTCTTCTTTCCTAGGACATGTATGCTAGTTAGCTGCTTCTGCTTTCCTAGAACATGTACGCTAGTTAGTTGATTCTGCTTTTCCATAGGTTGTTAGCTGTGACATTGCTGTTTTGTGACATTTTATATCCTAGGTTACATCGCATCGACTCAGCATGGAGCTTGCTCCACATCCTAGACTACTCAGGTTTTCTTTTCTTTGGTAGAGTTCCGCTTCTTGGCGGAAGTGTGCTTGTATCTAGGCGATCCATCACAGGCCGAGGATCGTGTAGCGGACCTCTGGTGGGCCTGTGAGACCAGCCCCTTGGCCTGTTCTCACAGGCCTGTGTTTTATTCGGGGCAGTCCAGTCCAGGCCGGTACCTCTGTCGGTACCAGCCAGTCCAGTCAAGTCCCGTTAGTCCGCTGGGGTATACCCCAGCAGTTCAGGATCATTCTACACTTGCACGATTTTGGCGTACGTGCGTTGGAGTCTTGCGTGGGAGCTGCGCTGTGCATCTTGCTCCCCCCTTCTTCCTCCATCTCCATCTCTATCACTAGCGAAGCACCACACCTAGTGACTCCCTGGCTCAGTGGGTGGTGGGAACCAACAGTCTGCAGGGTTCATCGTGATGTGAGTAGGTCATGTGCAGGTTTGCTCCGTGTTGGATGTGTGGACTACCTCGTTTGCGCTCTGTCGGTGCCTTGCTGCCTGTCCCGCTGGCTTCGCATGTGGTTCTCTGCAAATTGTTGTGTTCGCTGCGTGGTGTGGACGTGTTGTTGGTGTTGCCTTGCGCTTTGTTGCTTCGCTGCCTTGCTAATCATCCGTTGGTCATGCCTTCCGTGTTTGCCGCTTGTGTGCCTTGTAGTTTGGTTGCCTCCTTGCTGGTGACTTGTGCTCCGCTACACGGTTGCCGAGCTGCTGGCTTGCTCGCCTTGTTGTCCCTTGCAGTGTTGTTGCCTTGCTTGTATTGTCTTGTGCTTCACTACACGGTTGCCGCGTTGCATGTCCTCCGTGCCATGTCGTTCCTTGCAGTTGCTTTTGGCATTGTGCAGCCGTGTTACCTCTACTGTGTTGCCTGGTGCTCCACAATGTTGCTGCCTGCTGCTATGTTCCGCTTGGAGACAGTCTGCCTTCAACAAAGGTCAAAGGGCTCATGACCCAAACCATCAAATACGGAGATTCTACAGATTGCATCAAATCTGGAGATTCTGCAGATTGTAGAGGATTCAGTCTCTTTACGAGTCGATGCAACTCCGATGAAACAATCTATCATGTTTTGTTTTTTTAACTTTTTTCACTTTGTGTTTTTTTTTCCTGCTTGTTCTTTTGCCTGCCTTGTTGTCTTGTTGCTGGGCTGCTTCTCGACGTCCTGTCCGTTCTTTTCTTGCTTAGTATTGTTTGTCTGCCCATCCGCCTCCCCCATGCCCTCCAGCCTACGTTTTGTGTTGTTGCTTCACCGCCCCAGTGCTACTTCTTGACTTGTTGTTGCCGCCTCATTCTTCTGACTAGTGCTGTTTGTCTGGCCATCCGTCTCCCTCCGCCATGCCCTCCACCTTTGTTCTTTGCTGCAGCTTGTCATCCAAGTACAGTGCTGCGTCTTGACGTTAGCCTTGACATTTTGTTTGCCTTGTTGTACTTGTCTTACCACTGGTCGGTTTGGTTTTTGTCTTTCTTTTCGTTTCATGGCTTTTGAAAGTTGGGCATTATACGCATTCTTTTCTATGGGCATCCCGGGCTGCGGGCTCTTTCTCGGTGTTGTTTATAAGCACACCTTCCGATGCAACATGCTGCGATGCGGTCGCAAAAGTCACGCAATAGAAACAGAACACACACAGAGGACAGATAGTGACTACTAAAGGTGCAACCTTGAGCTGGCTGATGATACCGGCGATTGTCTCTGAGCCAGCAATGTGACCAGGAGACGATGGCGCAGCAGGTAAGTCCCCCAGCATCCTCTGTCCCTGCTCCGCTAACCCTCCTAGCTGCAGCACTGATCCTCGTAATAACCTCCTTTAATGTTGCTCAAGCAGCATAGCGCCCAGCCTAACTGTAAACACCGTGTATCTAACTGATACTGGACCGAGCTATAAATACTGCTGGGTCTACTAGTCCTCGGGGCGGCCTCAATCCAGGGCCTTCCGACTAAATGAACGATCAACGGTGCCGGATGCAGGCCGTGAAACTGGTCCAGCTACTGGAGCTGAAAAACGTGGCCTCTCTAGTGCTGCAAAATGACAATCGACGGTGCTGGATGCACACCGTGAAACTGGTCCGGCTACTGGAGCTGGAAAACGTGGCCTCTCTAGTGCTGCAAAATGACAAACTGGGCTGAACCTCAGAGAAATGGTTCAGCCCAAAACCTGGAGCTGCCGGCCTAGGTGCAACAATGGTCTGGACCAGAACTGGTCCAAATGACGCATTCGGACTGGGCTGAACTGAACCGACACAGCCCACGCTGGACACACCTGGGAACAAACAAAAGAACAGTCTGAATATATAAGGGAGGATCTAGCATGTAACAGCAGTTAGTTGGCACCGGTTTCATGGTGAAGAGGATCCCCCCTCTCCAAATTCCTGCTCAGTCAATCCCCTGGCTTCCAGGGTAATCAATGCTGGCAGGAACTTCCACATCTTCTGTTCTGATATGCTCTGAACTCATGCTTGTAAACGGGACGCTGGACCCGTTTTCCAGCAGGTGATGCTCCCCACCAATAGATGGAGCCGCTTCCCAGGTAGTAGTGATGTTTGCTCTTATCAACACCACTAACACTGAAGGGGGTGTTTGTTTAAAAAAAAAAAAAACGGACCAAAATGACAGAGTCCCCAAAATAAACCCACACGCCCACAATACCCCAACCTGGTCCTCTGATGCCAAAATGGACAATGCCGGGTGCGATGGGCCACGGTGCTATCCAAGGATGCACAAAAACGAAAATTTTCACAACAATAACAAGTACTCATAGATGCGTCGCATCGACATGTGCTGCAAAGCGCACAAGCGCCACACCGCGCAGCGCACACGATGAGCGCGCACAGCATGTGGCGCATAAAATTACAGAGTCCACCGAAGAGAAAAAAAGTTAGGGGGGGGGTTGAAGGCCCGCTAGGCACTTCGCGCCGCCTGGTACCAAAAGAAAAATAAAAAAATTTCAGGGCGCGGCGGGGCCCGCAAAAAAAAAAAAAAAGCAGGACCGATTAGTTCGTTTTTGAAC